TGGAGAATTTTGTCGGAAGGTAAGCGTTGCTCTTTCTAAGATGTTTATTCTCTTTTCTTACAAAATGAAGCAAAGGCTTTGTTTGTAGCAATTTTGACGGATGTATATTGGCTTCTTAAAAAATATAATTAGAGTGACACAAAGTATATACTAGAATTTTTGTTGTTATAACATATCCACAACTCTTAAGCATATCATACATTTTCTCCTTTTTTCTTATTTTGAGGGTTCATTAAAAGTTATTTCGAGATCTTTGGATGTTAACCCATTGACGATCGCGCTACCTATGGGTTCGTCACACTTTTCTGATGGCAATTATCGCTCCTTTTTGTACTTTTATAGATTTTTAATGCATTTAACAGATGTAGGGTGATTTGACATACATCTAGTACAAACAGAGTTAGCTAATGCGTGGTGGTTGATGGGTCAACGTTGCTGTTCCAGGGATTTTCTACCTCGTGGATCCGGTATAGTAACACGACGTCCTCTTATTCTGCAGTTGATTCAGGATAGAAATGGTATGTATTTGTTTTCACACAAATTAGCTATTATGACAGTATTCACGATTGCTTGCTTTCCAGAATATGCGGAATTTTTACACAAGAAGGGTACCTATTTCACTGATTTTGACGCGGTTCGTAAGGAGATCGAAGATGAAACCGATAGAGTAACTGGTCAGAATAAGGGGATATCTCCTCATCCGATCAACTTGCGAGTTTTCAGTCCTAATGGTGAGTATCATATCATGATTTTTACCTACTTACTATCTTTCTTGAATTCTTATTCAACTATTGAATATTTGCAGTGCTGAACCTCACACTTATCGATCTCCCTGGTTTGACTAAAGTTCCAGTGGGTGATCAGCCGCCCGACATCGAACACCAGATTCGTGAAATGATTCTAACATTCATTAGTAGAGAAACTTGCCTGATTCTGGCAGTGACACCAGCCAACAGTGATCTTGCCACATCAGATGCATTGAAACTTGCCAAGGTAGTTTCTTTTCTTGCAAGATGTGACGAGTTTCGTTGCAGATATGCGGTTTTGAAGAGTCGTTACCTGCCTTTATTTTTAGGAAGTCGATCCGCAAGGCTTGCGCACTATTGGTGTATTGACAAAGTTAGATCTTATGGATGAAGGCACTGATGCACGTGATATTTTAGAAAATCGACTGTTTCCTTTGAGAAGAGGTAAGTCGATTGATGCTGCATTATCTTTTCAGCGCGTTCTTTCTAAAAATCTGCTTTGAAAGAACGTGCTGAGAAGATTGATGAAGCTATTCGCGAACGTTGTATCTGCTTCTTATGATTGCAGTCATATCAGAAATATTATGGTCATGTTTCATTAAATTATTTCTTATCAGTGTTGACCAGAGAGATGCGCACATCATGCGACTCTGATTTATTTGATGTCAAAAAAATTCATTCCGTTGTCAATAATTCCATGAAGTATTTTTTATAAGAGAAATTGTTGGTAACAGACATCTCTGCTTATTTTTACTTGCATGTGAGCTTCAATGTACTGGAGATATTGGATCGTTGTGGAATTGATGGAGAACCTTCTCCCTATAGTCATTTTCTAGGTTACGTTGGAGTTGTTAACCGTGGGCAAAAAGATATCGTTGGAAAAAAGGACATTCGTTCGGCTTTAGATGCCGAGAGAAAGTTTTTCTTATCACATCCATCGTACAGGTGCAGTTCTTTCTTCGAGCAACATACCTCCTAGTCTTGAGAAATTTTGAAAATTACTTTCAAGAATATTTTCTCATCTTATGATAGGTATACAGTTGAACTTTTCAGACATATGGCTGACCGACTTGGTACGACTTATCTACAGCATACCCTTAATCAACAGCTGACCAATCACATAAGGTCGGCAACTAGGCTCAACAAGAACTCATTATAAATCTCAATTTTTGTTTTAGAGATACCCTGCCAACTCTGCGTGACAGTTTGCAAAAGAAACTTTTTGCACTAGAAAAGGATGTTGCTGAGTACAAAAATTACCAACCGAATGATCCAGGACGAAAAACGAAGGCGTTATTGCAGTATGTCTTATTACTGTGCTCTTTTGTCCAGCGTTTACGGATGTAAAATCTAGAATGGTCCAACAATTCACTATGGATATTGAAAGATCAATTGAAGGGTCATCCGCAAAATTAGTTTCCACAAATGAGCTAAGTGGTGGAGCTAGGATCAACAGGTAACAGACCACGTTTTTGTTCAAATTAGGGTCCGAGCACTACTCAGTCTTGTTGCAGACTTTTCCATGAACGATTCCCGTTCGAAATTGTAAAAATGGAGATCGATGAGAAAGAGATGAGAAAGGAGATCCAGTTCGCCATTAGGAATATTCATGGTATCAGGTGTGTGATCTATCTGTCTCCTTTTTGAGCTAATGAATGGTAAAGATGTACTTACGATAGCCGAAGTGAGACTGCATTTGAAGCACTTGTTAAGAACTTGGCTTGGCGAGACTTTGATATTAGTACCACATTTTGTTTTGGATTGTGGCTACAAGTATCTATGTTTCAATGGTTTGTCAAGTGTCGTACTCGTGCAAAATCAAATTTGTCCGGACGTTTGTTGAGATGATGACGTACAGTGGCACTTTGTGCGCAATCGTCATTGTCCGATGTTGGTCAAACACAGTAGTTTCTGAATTATAAGTTTATTGAAAGTCTGAAATGTTGCACATTGAGAAAGATCTTGTATTAAGAACTTAGTTGATGTCGAAATGATTCAAAAATGTGACTATAATGGAATTTTTGAATAAGAAAATGAATGGAATGTATTCTAGGTCCTTTTATACCTGCCCTTTAATAAAAAATTTATTCTGTGGAACTATCTGAGTCCTCTGTTTAGGGTCGGCCTCTTTACACCTGATATGGCTTTCGAAGCCATTGCCAAAAAACAGATCGCTCGTTTGAAGGAGCCATCTTTGAAATGCGTCGATCTCGTTGTCAATGAGCTCGCCAATGTTATTAGACAATGTGCAGAATGTGTAAGTTCGACAGTTTGCTTTATTCTTTGAGATTGCTTTTCTTTTTTCTTACGGTTTATTATTGGTTAGAGCCTGTCGACAATGAAGTTTGCATGTTCCTTTTCTTTTTAGCTAGCACGTTATCCTCGTCTGCGTGACGAAATTGAGCGAATAGTTGTTACTAGAGTTCGCGAAAAGGAACAATATGCCAAGAGTCAAATATCACTTATTGTCGACTATGAACTTGCTTATATGAATACGAACCATGAGGATTTCATTGGGTTTAGCAAGTAAGTATATCTATACATAATTGTTTAAACTTCATCGAGTCTTGTTTCAATTGTAATACCATGGAAAACTTCTTAGTGCCGAAGCAAAAGCATCTCAAGGACAAACAACCAAGAAGAACCTTGGTGTGCAAGTTATCCGCAAAGGATGGTTATCCATCAACAACATCTCTTTCATCAAGGGCTCGAAAGATTGCTGGTTTGTTCTGATGTCTGACAGTTTGAGTTGGTTCAAGGACGATGAGGTAAACTGGATATCAAAATTTAGGGAAATCGCTGTTATTGATACATTTTTTGTTTAGGAGAAGGAAAAGAAGTACATGCTTCCCTTGGATGGTATCAAATTGCGCGACATCGAAAGCGGTTTCATGTCTCGCCAGCATAAATTTGCTCTCTTCTATCCAGATGGAAAGTAAGTGCTTCAGAAACTACTAGAATTCTTCTTTGCTTGGCTTATTTTGACTCCGCCTTAACAGTTCATAATTCTTTTATTTTCATTTGACTTATGTTTCCTATTCACCAATGTCTTTTGCGTGCTCCGTTTCAGAACGTAAGTTGGCGCACAAACTCAGTGGCGCAAATATGTGAATGAATGTGGTAACTGGGGTGGCAACTTCTATTATTTTATTTGTCCAAACGTTTGTCCTTCGATCTCATCCTTTGCTTCAGTCTATACGCATAACAGTCACTAACAATGAGTAGTTTCTATCGATTCATTTTCACTAATTTCTTTGCAGGAAGTAAGTGGTGATTTCATATGTTAGCACCGTAGAATGCTAACATCTCACGTAAGCATACGCTATAAGCGGTCAGTGTCGTATCGTTGTAGTGTGACACTAGCGTTATTAGCGTACCCAGCTTTCTATCCCTCCTTTATCCATGACACCGCTTGCTGCAGCCAATCCCGAAAGTCTTTTTTTGCGATCGCATACTTCTGTGACCCTTCGATTTTATCAATTGTTTTTATGCATGTATGACATTTCCCACTTCCCGAGGTGAGAGCGCTTTACTGAATTATGATCGAAGCCTAATCTTTCGTTTGGCTCATTTTGTCGTTCTAGCCTTTTTATCTAGTTTGATAGAAAAATTAGAGACGAAAAATGGACTTTTTCCTATTATTTTCCTATTATTATGCAGATTGCAATGACAATTGGTAACCTAAGTTTTCAAAAACATCGGCATAATTAAGAAACGATGATGACCATTCAAGTCTTCTTTAATGTTTAGAGCAGGAATCAGGGATATCAATATCGAAAAGCTTTTGAACTTTACTTTTCTTTAGTTTTGTGCATTTTCTTGGAAAGTCGTCAATTTCCAAGGTGATTGTGGTATTTTTTTCAAATTCGGATTTGCAAAGAGATCTGCAAATTTCTCTTTATGAGGGCTTGTTATTTCGTTAGATCAGGTATCTCACAGCACTTTGTTACTAAAAAAACGGAATTCAAAGTAATGTTGAAGTGTTACTAACCCGTTCTTTCTTTCTTCCTCCCATAGCTATA